CCTATGGATAGTAAATATTTTAATTGTCTAATCAAATTGTAAGTAAATTAATTCGTTGATTTTTTTTTTTGGTTTATTTACCAGATTAAAGTTGATCAAATCATTGGAATCAATTTATAATTGTAACATGACCTAAATTGTGATTAAACTTTCATGTTAATTATGATGATAGACTTTAAATTTGTGAAAGGTGTGATAATTAATAAGTTAATTGTAATAGATTTGCTTCTCATTGATTGTAATCAAGACAAAATTGGTTGATTACAATTTTGAATTTAATATCATCTGATTAATCAACAATATTCTGATATTATCATTTGAAAACAAATGATTGAGTTGATGAATGAAATGATTTGCTGTTAACAATGAGCTAAATTTTTTTCATCATCATTATCATCAACATCATCATTTACAATTAACTTTAATCATAATGATGACCATTAAAATATATATATTAATAATAAAATACAATTGATAACTATTAATAGTATCCTCATTATGATAATATTGACTCACCAATTGTTACCTTATTCATTCATCAATTTAATTGTGAATGATAAAGTTTATTGATTAATAACAGTTAGTTAAGTAGCATGATGATTATCATGATGACAGGTTAATTGGTTACCTGGTGACATAAGACATTCAACTTGATATTATTATTATTATCATACATCAATGAGCAAGAAGTAAAAGTTCAATGAAAAGATAACAAATTGGATAATATTAGATCATAAAATTCTGAATCATGATTAGCGAAACAGAATGCGAATCAAGAAAAACAGAGTTTCGATTCGAGGATAATAATTCGTAAACATGAAGATAATTCCCTTGGTAATTTGATCTGAAAGATAAAATGGAAACCAAATTCTGAGTCTCTCCTGTGGATATATCATATTATTCACGATCAAACTTGAGAGATGAGGAAGAGAAAAAAAAAGTTCGAAAGGTTGAGAAGAAAAAATAAGAATTCGATTCGTTTGAAATCTTCTGAATGATTATTATATATACATGATGATGCGAAACTTTAAAGATGAGGTCAGAAAAATATGACAGTTTGACAGTTGAACATGTAAAGTAGTTGATTCCATCAAGATGATTCTGAAACTCAGAATTACTCAATTTCCGTTTTTTCTTCATCATTTCAGTTTTTTTCTCACAACAATATTTATTATCTTATCATCTTCATCATCATCATCAACACCCTCAAGACATTTATATGCATGTAATCATTTGGGTCTTTTTATTATTTCTCTTGTTTTCTCAATCTTATTTTGCTCTCTCTCAACTTTTCAGAATCGGAACATTATTTTGATTCATTTTTTATTCTGTTTACTTTTTATTTCATGATAAATATAAAATGGATTATGAAAATAAACTGTTGGATAACATTATCTCTTCATATTAATATGTTGGGTGAAAAACTCATATGAGAATCGAGGGGAAAAAAGAAACAGGAAGTAAGAATTTCATTTCCAGGATAACAAAGGTAATTTATCTAAGACTTGAATTGATTATTGGTGATCATCATCATCATTAATATCAAGAGATTATCATAATAATAATAATATAAATCTGCTTTGGGATCATCTTTGACTATCAATTGTTTACCTTAATTATCATTGAACACATTAGGTGAATTATGGGAAATCTTTTATCAGTAGGAAGAGGAAGTGATCAGAGGAAAGTTGAGATTCTCTTGGAATAATCAATGATAATTAATCTAATAAAAACAAAAACGATTCCAAAATTATGCTACCCGATATTCAACCAAAACTAACGGTAAAATGTGTATCTAGATATTCAACTGTTGATACGATTAAACAAATGGACATTGAATCAATTGAAGAAATTGATAATTGAGGTGAGTTTAAATTTAGAAGTAAGAAAAAAGTTTCATCATGATGATGGTTAATTGGGAGGAAGGTGATTTATGATTCGTTCATGATGATTATGCTTCTGATAAAAGAGAGAGATAAAGATGATGATGATGATGATGGACACTACATCAAGGTGAGCTCAGGTGAATTCATTCAAATCAAATTCTAAATCATAACAGTAACACTACTCAGGTGGACACATGAAACGATTTCCCGAAAACATGAAAACACGTTCGCCAGTTTAATCGCTTCTTGTAATCATCTTCGACGATCATTAATATTATCATACTTTTCGTCTTGTCTTTTTTTCTTTCTTTGCTAAGGCGTTAACATCTTTTTCTTTCTCTCTCTCTCATCATCATATTTATCTTCATCTTCATCTTTTCTTCCTTTGGGTTTGTGGGACAAGTAAAGAAGGTTTTAAAGATGGAGAGCAAAAAAAAGAAAAAGTTGTGATGTCAAATGTATACAAATAATTCTGATTCTGAATTCGGATGCATGATGATGATGATGATGATCGCATCATCATGATGAAAGATGGTAGCGATGATGAAGATGCGAAAATTGAGAACAGAAAAAGAACAAGTAAAAAAAATTGGAAGAAAATAAGTTAACTTTTTTTTTTCGAAAACATTAATTTCTAATGATGATTAAAATAATGACGAAATAATCAAGTAAAGATCCTTAATTTAATTGCGATGATTAACATTCAATTTGAATGATCGTTTGTTGAGATTAAATTGTTTTCCATCATAACAAATATAACATTGAACGAGAAAAGTAATATTTCAATTAACTTAAATTGGAAACAAAAAACTTAATTTTAATTATAACCTTTTCATTTACAATTAACTTGATTTCAACTGATTGGGCTAATCAATTAGCTAAATATTTAATTGATTGTTGCAGGTTTTCACAGTTAAGGGTTGATAAATTAACTTTAACTTACCTTGAATTAATTGAGAGGTTTAAATTGTTGAATCTTTTGCAATGATGACAATTTTTTTGATTATTGCAATTAAATTGATAAGATTTAAATTTGATGATTTAAATTGTCTAATTTTTTAGGTTGTTGTTGATTGAAACACTTAATTAAAATGTTGTAATTGTAAACACACACAAAGACAAGAAAATTTAATTAAATCCAGGTAATCTTAAGGTAACGATAATTGTAATCATTATTGGTTTTAAATTGATCAGATTTAATCACAATTAAAATGATACAAAAATTGTTGAGTGATTAACATGATTAACACAATTTAATATCCAACTTTGTAAATGGCAAAATCCAAACAATTATTAAAGCACAATTGATAATTATCCTTTTTGTATGTTGATTGTTTAAAGGTTTTAATTGGTATCCTAATGATTGAGATTTAATTACAACAATTAACTTTGAATCGATGTTACCAAGTAGCGATGTCAATTATGGTAAACAATTATTTTGGTCAAGACTTAATGGTCAAGATGTCAGGTGAAAATTGTCCTTTGATTGTCCTTTACACTTTGGTAAACAAGGAAACTGAATTAAGTTTGTTAATGTATATGAATGAAAACACAACCAATTGTAATTACAATTAGAACATAGATTTAGACTTGATGATGATTTATATCAACTGATTAATTATAGTTGATTTTACTATCGACCATCAACTGATTGATGAATTCCAATTCAGGTGAACATTGAACGGTGAAAAAAGGTTTGTTGTTGTTTTGATTTCTAATGTTTATGATACACTTTTGGTTATCATTGAAGCTTTTCCAGAACAAGTTGAAAGGAAAGAAAGAGGATGAATAGAGAGTTGAAGCAGAATTTCATCTGGATAAAATTGAGAGTTTCAATTGTATGAGAAAGAAGAAGATGAAAAAGTAGGAGGAGGATGAAGATGAAGACGAGAGAGCGAGAGAGTAGAACAGGGGAAATGTTTCAAGTATAAGGAAAAGTAAGACAAAAATCCTGAACTGGTTCTGATAAGCTGAACATTTCGAATTGGAATTTATCGTTTTGAGAAGTTTATGCTTCCTCTGATGGATTAGAATTGTAACTTATTCTAACGAACCAAAGTGGCGCGAATTGGTAGTTTCTTCTAACGAAAGATTAGTAGATAAGATGAAATGATCAACGAAATGACCTAAATACATGAATTTTAATTCGATGAGCGAATCAATTTGTCAGGGATTCTATTTCATGCAGCATTGTTTTTACGAATCTGCCAACTGTCTTCCAGTTCTCATTGACGAATAAAAACTGAGACAAACTTTAATAATTGTCTGTCATGTTTCGAGGTGAAAGAAGAAAGTTCAGTTTGTGTCCAATTTTCTGTACGAATTGATCATTGCGAAAACTCATGATGTGAATATTTCGAGCAACTTATATTCTTCATGAAGGTAAATAAGTAAAGCTCAAGATATGTCCGTAAGCTCAACTTTTCTACGTTCAGCTGACTTTTTTCGGCTTACAATTCGCGGCTTTTTAGGAAAATGGTTTAATTTAATTGATTAAACAATTAATTCAACAATCTAAGATTATTCGACTCCTTTTGGGTATAGCGGGTACATGTTAGTCCACATTTAACAATGTAATGAAGTTTATTAGCGGAAGACAAGGCTGATTAGCTGCCGATAACATTAAATAAATTGTATGATAGTTTGATTTTCCCAGGACCTACTGGCCTTCCTTTGTCCATAGTGACCTTTAATAGTGAAAACCTAACCTAATTTAAACAAACACAATTTATTGAGAAATTAAGTTAATTAATGAGTAGCTGTAATCTTAAGCCGGAAAAAGTCAAATCCTTGAGCCTTACCAGAATCTGATTTAGGCCCGTAATCTAATTAAGATCCGATATGCGATTTCTATTCATTTGAAAAAAGCGCTTTGTCTCAATAATTAATCAGCTGTTCTTTACGAGGGAAACTAATTTGAAATTATTAATTTTTCTGATTAATCATTAATGTTATTAATTTCAATGATAAGTTATCGGCATTTCTTTAAGTTTACAGACCAATTATGTCATTTGCCGATTTACCTGATAATTGTCTTTGGAAGATCTTCGAAAATGTCAATGGGGCCATAGATTTGATTCGATTGTCAAAAGGTAAGGTTGAGATTCCATTTAGATCCGTTCATATCATCTCCAGAGCATAGTAAAAATCGATTGCGATTATCATAACTATAATAAGTTTGAGCCGCAAACTGTGCAAAATAAAAAATCAAATTTTCAGTGGAATTGAAAAAAAATTATTCATAAATTGACATTCAAACTTCGCGCATCAAAAATCAGAAAAATTGAATTATTTTGAAATTTTAATGATTATTGTTTTGTTAAAGTGCTATTATAGTGAATATTTCGTCAAAAATTCTAAGTAAAATGTCCTGAGGCTCTTTCCCTTCAATTCTACTTGACGGTGGAGAATTTTGGCCCTTTTTTGCTTCTCTTCGTCTTTTAGTCTTTTACCAAGGTCTCCCGGTAAAGCACAAGAAACTATCAGTTGGTTTTCAGAGGGAACCGATTTAAACTTTAAATTTTTGTTTATCTCATTAAATTGATTTGTGACCCAACATATGTGAAATGGTGAAAGCATTTGACACGTAAAAACGTTGAGAAAACGAGAGAAAAACGCGTTGAAAACACTCCTTTTGTCTCATCCGCAAAAGCGCTGGTTCTTAGTAATTAATCAGCTGTTTACCAAGTGAATTTACTCATTTCAAATTAGTGCTTTAACATTTCTTCAGATTTTTGAATTATTTATTAGTGGAATCATAATTATGTCATTTAACGATTTACCTGATATTTGTCTTTGGAAGATCTTCGAAAATGTCCATGAGGCCAAAGATTTGATTCGATGGTCTCAAGGTAAGATTAAGATTCCGTAAAGATGATGAAATTTTAAAACTTCTTTACTTTCCTTTGGTCCTATAGTTTGTTCGAGATGGTCCGATTTAATTAGGCCGAGATTTAAGAGAGTAAAATATCTTCGTTTGATAGATAGTAAGTTAATTTCTAATTGATTGATTTATGATTTTATTAACACTTGTTTCCAATTTTATTTTAAATAGATGCGGTTGATTATATTGATGCGAACAGTTTGTGGATTAATCCTAAAACGAATTGGAATTACAATTTATTCAAATTGTTTCCGAACATTAAGGTAATTGATTAATTTTTTTAAATCAAAATTATGTTTGTTTCTAATTGTTTTTTAATTTGACGTTAGATTATAAATTCTGCGGCCTTTGATTATCATGGATCTTTCAATTTACCAGAAATTGTCAAAAATAATCCACAAATAAAGGGATTGGTCGGTATGGATAACTTAAGTAAAGATGGTTACATGGAAAATATCGAAATGTGCTCTGCAGAATTTGACTTTCATTATAAAAAAGTTTTTCGACCTTATCAGTTGAAACAAGTTTGCTGCTTCCGTTTTCGTAAGGCTGATCTTCCTTCATTCATTGAATATTTTCCAAATTTGAAGCGACTTAGCATAGAAAACGACGAAGGTGAGATTCAACTACAATTAATCTTCGGATTATTTCATATGATTAATCTTTAGGGTCTTATTTACCGGACGGTGTTTTTTACAATGGACCGAATTTGTCTTCGTTAAAGATTCTGGAATTTGGTACAACCCACTTTGCTCAGGTATTCACCGGATTTCATTTCATGGATTTTTGTCCCTCTTTGGAAAGCGCTTTCTTTCAGTGTTTGGCAGAGGATATTTATTTAGATGAATCGATAAAGAATTATAATCTAAGAGATCTGGTTATCGAATGTCATGTAAGTCAGTGGTTGGAAAATCTTAACAGATTATTATATTGTATCAACTTTTTCTATTCAGTCTGATTGTTTTTCATGGGCAACACTACGAAGACTGCTTTCCAAATTTCCATATTTACATCATCTTAGGATCATGTGTATCGGTGTAATTAAATACAGTAATTTAGAAGAGTTGGTAAAACTATTACCTGAGTTGAAGATATTGGACTTAAGAGGCTATAATGGAGTGACGCATAAAACAGCTGATTTTCTATCCAAATATTGTGTCAAAGAGAATCGATCAATTGTAATATATTACGATTGTGAAAACGAACCTGCCGAATGGCCTAAATTGGTGGAGACTGACGAACCAATTTGTTATGGATTCGATTTCATGAAACATTGTTTTTATAAAACTTTCGATTCTCTTCCAGTTCTCATTGATGAATAAAATGGCTGATTTGAATCAATCGCAAAGCCAAGTATTTTGTTAAGGTAACGATAATTGTAATCATTATTGGTTTTAAATTGATCAGATTTAATCACAAACAAAATGACACAATAATTGTTGATTGGTATAAATGATTAACACAATTCAATATCCAACTTTGTAAATGGCAAAATCCAAACAATATTTAAATCACAGTTGATAATTATCCTTTTTGTATGTTGATTGTTCAAAGGTTCTAATCGGTATCTTAATACTGTATTAATGTGTATGAATGAAAACACAACCAATTGTAATGACAATTAGAACATAGACTTGATTATGATTTATATCAACTGACTAATTATGGTTGATTTTTTCGCACTTCTATTCATTCTTTCTACATTAACTAACGACAATAATAACACGAAATTATTAATATAAAACAGAATTATATTCTCAATTTTGAATATCCCTTATCTCTTCAATTAAAATCTTTAAAAATCAACATTAATCACAATCAAGATGAGCGCCATTAAAGTTACCCTTTCCTGTCAATATTGTAAAATATTGTAGTAAGATAATTTCTAATCGATGGGTTAATTATTTTATTAATACTTGTTTCCATTTTTTTTAGTCGAAGATAAAGTTGATTATATTGATGAAAACAGTTTGTGGATTAATCATAATACGAATTGGAATGATTACAATTTATTTGAATTGTTTACGAATCTTAAGGTAATTAATGAATTTTATGAATCAAAATTATTTTACTTTCTAATTGTTTCTAATTTGACGTTAGATTATAGATACTGCGACCTATGGTTACAATTCGTCTTTAAATGTACCAGAAATTATCAAAATTAATCCACAAATAAAGGGATTGATTGGACATTTTAATTTATTAATAAGAAGAGAAGATTATGACTTGTCAAATATCGAAATGTTCGCTTCAGAGTTTTGTTTCGATTATAAAGAAATTTTTCGACCTGATCAGTTGAAACAAGTTTGTTGCTACTATTTTGATATGAAAAGTCTGCCTTCATTCATTGAATATTTTCCTAATTTGAAGCGACTCAACTTGCAACTCATTAATGGTGAGATTCAATTTTAATTAATCTTCTAATTGTTCAATATGATTAGTATCTTTTTACAATTTATAATAGCGGACCAAGTTTTATACAATGGACCGCATTTGTCTTCGTTAAAGATTCTTGAACTTTGTACAAGCGATTTTGTTGAACAATTCACCGGATTTCATTTGATGGATTTTTGTCCCTCTTTGGAAAGCGCTTTCTTCAATTGTTGGTCATCTGATATTCATGTAGATGAATCGATAAAGAATTACAATCTGAGAGATTTGGTTATCGAAAGTCGTGTAAGTCAATCATTGAGTCTTAAATGTTTTTAAGATTTTTGTTGATCTTTTTCTTTTATTCTTTCGATTCAGTCTGGTTTTCTTTTTGTGGTTCTCGATAATGTAAGTCAATCATCTAGCGATAAATGTTTATAAGATTTTATTTAATTTCTATTTCTTTAGATTCGTTCTGGTAGTTTTTCGTGGCCACTACTTAAAAAACTGGTGTCTAAATTTCCTAATTTACAACATCTAGCATTTAGATATATTGATGAGCTTGATGATAATAATGCAGAAGAATTGATAAAATTATTACCAAAGTTGAAAATATTGGACTTGAGAGGATGTAAGAAAGTGACACACAAATCAGCTGATTTTCTGTCCAAATATTGTGTCAAAGAGAATCGATCAATTGTATTATATTACGACTGTGAAAACGAACCACCCGAATGGCCTAAATTGGTAAATACTTGCGAACCAATTTGCTATGGATTGGATTTCATGAAACGTTGTTTCTACAAAAAATTCAGTTCTCTTCCAGATCTCATTGATGAGTAAAACGATTGATTTGAATCAATCGCAAGTACAAATATGAGGTTGATTATTCATTATATGAATACTTTGATTAACGAAATTAAAACGATTGGAAACAATTGATAAGATTTATTTATTTATTTTCGATTTGATTATTTAAATTGTTCAATTTTTTTAGGTTGTTGTTGATTGAAACACTCAATTAAAGTGTTGTAATTGTAAACACACACAAAGACAAAAATACAATTAAATCCAGGTGATGTTAAGGTAACAATAATTGTAGCTTGTAATTAAAAGTTCATAAACTGTTAACACAATTTATTAATAGTATCCAGCTTTGTAAATGGCAAAATCATTATTGGTTTTAAATTGATCAAATTTAATCACAATTAAAATGACACAAAAATTGTTGATTGATCAACATGATTAACACAATTTAATTGCAAATGGCTAAATCCAAACAGTAACACAATTGATAAGCTGAACATTTCGAATTAAAATAATTTATCGTTTTGGAAGAAGTTTATGCTTTCCTCTGATGGATTAGAATTGAAACTTATTCTAACGAACGAAATTAGGCCGAATTGCATTTTTGTATGTTGATTGTTCAGAGATTTTAATTGGTATCCTAATATTAATGATAGAGATTTAATTACAACAATTAACTTTGAATCGATGTTACCAAGTAGCGATCTCAATGATGGTCAAGATGTCAAGTGAAAATTGTCCTTTGCTTGTCCTTTACACTTTGGTAAAAGAGGAGACTGAATTAAGTTTGTTAATGTAGATGAATGAAAACACAACCAATTGTAATTACAATTAGAACATAGATTTAGACTTGATGAATTACCGAATTTTTAAGAAAAATAACAAGTTTTCAAAGCGAATCAACAAAATGATCATTCGGATTGCATATAAATTGATTGTTAAAATTCTAGACAATTATAGTTGATTAATAAAGTATACGATTGAGCATCTATCATGTTTCGAGGTGAAAGAGTCTTTCAGACGAAAGTTAATTTTTTATCGCAAGTTTTATGGACGAATAGATCGCTTTCGTTAATTATTTTTGGTTAATTCGACCAGCTTATATTCTTCATGAAGGTAAATCTATTGGTTATAAAGATTCTGCTCTAATATAATTAGATTCAATATTCAATTTCTATTCATTTGAAAAAAGCGCTTTGTCTTAACAATTAATCAGCTGTTCTTCAGGAGGGAAACTAATTTACAATTTGAAATTTTGCTGATTAATCATTAATGTTATTCAATGAAAAGTTATCGGCATTTCCTTAAGTCTACAGATCAATTATAAGTGAATTGTGATTTTTAATTATGTCATTTAACGATTTACCTGATAATTGTCTTTGGAAAATCTTTGAAAATGTCCATGAGGCAAAAGATTTGATTCGATGGTCTCAAGGTAAGATTGAGATTTCGTTTAGATGATGAAATTTAAAATTTTAAATTTTAAAACTCTTTTACTTTTTTTTTGTCCTAAAGTTTGTTCGAGATGGTCCGATTTAATTAAGCTGAGATTTAATCGAGTAAAATATCTTCAAATGATGGATTTTTTTAGTAATAGTAGTAAGTTAATTTCTCATTGATCGATTCATTATTTTATTAATACTTGTTTCTAATTTCTTTTAGGCAAAGATAAAGTTGATTATATTGATGGAAACAGTTTGTGGATTAATCATAATACGAATTGGGATGATTACAATTTATTCGAATTATTTCCAAATCTTAAGGTATTTAGTGAATTTTATTAAATCAAAATTATGTGGCTTTCTAATTGTTTTTTAATTCGATGTTAGATTATAGATATTGCGGTTTTATTGGAAACTGCATCTTTGTTAGATATTGTCAGAAATAATCCACGAATAAAGGGATTAATCGCAGTTTTGGATTATATCTATGACGATTTTATCTTAGCAAATATCGAAATGATCGCTGCAGCTTGTGATTTCGATTATGAAGCAGTTTTTCGACCTGACCAGTTGAAACAGGTTAGCAGCGACTTTATTGGTATTAATCATCTTCATTCGTTTATTGAATATTTTCAGAATTTGAAGCGACTCCACTTAAACCTCTATGCAGGTGAGATTAAACTTCAATTAATCTTTTGATTGTTTCATATGATTAATATCTTTTTACGATTTATTATAGTGTACGGAGAATTTTACAATGGACCGACTTTGTCTTCGTTAAAGATTCTTGAACTTGATTCTACCTGGTTGGTTGAAAAATTCACCGGATTTCATTTTATAGATTTTTGTCCATCTTTGGAAAGCGCTTTCATCAATTGTTGGGCAGAGGATATTTATGTAAATGAATCGATAAAGAATTACAATCTAAGAGATTTGGTCATCGAGAATGTAAGTCAATCATCGAGTGATAAATGTTTCTAACATTTTATTTGATTTCTTTTTCTTTAGATTCGTTCTGGTAGTTTTTCTTGGCCACTACTTAAAAAACTGGTGTCTAAATTTCCTAATTTACATCATCTAGCAATCAGAAATTTTGATAAGCTCGATGATAGTAAATTTCATTTAGATGAATTGATAAAATTATTACCAAAGTTGAAGTTATTGGACTTGAGAAGATTTAAGAAAGAGACGCATAAATCAGCTGATTTTCTGTCCAAATATTGTGTCAAAAAGAATCGATCAATCGTAATTTATTACGATTGTGAAAACGAACCCGCCGAATGGCCTAAATTGGTAAATACTCGTGAACCAATTTGTTATGGATTCGATTTCATGAAACATTGTTTCTACAAAAATTTCAGGTGTCTGCCATATCTCATTGATGAATGAAATGACTTATTTGAATCAATCGCAAATCCAAACATATCATAAGGTTGATTATTCACTATACGAATACTTTTATTATCGCAATTAAACTGATTGGAAACAGTTGATAAGATTTATTTATTTATTTTCGATTTTATGATATAAATTGATCAGATTTAATCACAATTTAAATGACACAAAAATTGTTGATTGCTTAGCACAATTTAATATCCAACTTTGTAAATGGCAAAATCCAAACAATAATTAAAGCACAATTGAAAATGATAAATTATCATTGATAATTATCCTTTATCTCTTCAATTAAAATCTTTAAAATCAACATTAATCACAATCAAGATGAGCGCCATTAAAGTTACCCTTTCCCGTCAACGGAGGCATAAAGCACAAGAAACTATCAGCTGGTTTTTAGAGGGAACCGATTTAAACTTTAAATTTTTGTTTACCTTTTTAAATTGATCTCAAGTGAATTATGTCAATTAACAAACTACCAAACGAGTGTCTTTATATGATTTTGGACTATTTCAATGGATTCGAAGATTTGATTCGATTGTCAAAAGGTAAGATTAAGATTCCGTTAAGACGATAAAATTTCAATTCTTATTTACTTTTCCTTGATTCTTCAGTTTGTTCGAGATGGTCCGATTTAATTACGCTGAGATTTAATCGAGTGAAATATCTACAGGGCATTTCACCAAGTTTCCAACAAGTTTTTCGAGAATAACTTTTTTGTCTTTGGGTATTTAGGCTCCAGACTCGAGTTATGGGAGTTTGAGCGATACTCAATTGTCATATTTCAAGGTCAAGGTCATAAAGGTTATTCATGAAAGAAGGCACTTGAAGGTCATTTGAAGAACTTTTTGAAAACTAGAAATTTTTTAACGCCTAGTCATGAAGTAAAAAAATAGTAATAACACTAAACAACGTTGGTATCGCGCAAAAACAAAATCAGTTACTTAAGATAAATTTTTACTGAAAGCAAATTGAATCAGACCCTGTAAGTAAAGGAATAATAAAACATCACAGGTAGGCTTTAAAAAATTTCTAGTTTTCAAAAAGTTCTTCAAATGACCTTCAAGTGCCTTCTTTCATGAATAACCTTTATGACCTTGACCTTGAAATATGACAATTGAGTATCGCTCAAACTCCCATAACTCGAGTCTGGAGCCTAAATACCCAAAGACAAAAAAGTTATTCGCGAAAAACTTGTTGGAAACTTGGTGAAATGCCCTGTACAATCGAAAGATTTTTATGAGCGTAAGTAAATTTCTCATTGATCGATTCATTATTTTATTAATACTTGTTTCTAATTTCTTTTAGGCATAGATAAAGTTGATTATATTGATGCGAACAATTTGTGGATAAGTGCGTATACGAATTGGAATGATGACAATTTATTCCAATTGTTTCCAAATCTAAAGGTAATTAATGAATTTTATCAAATCAAAATTATGTTGTTTTCTAATTGTTTTTTAATTCGATGTTAGGTTATGGATACTACTTTCTTATTCCGCGATGAAGCTTTCAATTTTTCAGAAATTCTCAAGAATAATCTACAAATTAAAGGATTGATCTGTATGGATAGAGTTCATAAAAATGGTTACTTGGAAAATATCGAGATGTGCGCTTCAGCATTTAATTTCGATTATTGGAAAACTTTTCGACCTGGTCAGTTGAAACAAGTTTCCAGCTACTATTTTCGTATGAATGAACTTCCTTCATTCATTGAATATTTTCCTAATTTGAAGCGACTCAACTTGTGCCTTGGTAACGGTGAGATTCAACTTGAATTGATCTTTCGATTGTTTTTTATGATTAATATTTTTTTACGATTTTTATTATAGCGAACAAAGTTTTTTACAACGGTCCGAATTCTTTTTCGTTAAAGATTCTTGAACTTGGTACAAGCGATTTTGTTGAACAATTCACTGGATTTCATTTCATGGATTTTTGTCCCTCTTTAGAAAGCGCTTTCTTCCGTTGTTGGGCAAAAGATCTTTATGTAGATGAATCTATAAAGAATTACAATCTGAGAGATTTGGTTATTGAAGATGTAAGTCAATCATTGAGTGATGAATGTTCATAAGATTATCGCTAACTTTTTTTCTTTAGTTTCAAGTTAGTTTTTCGTGGCCTCTACTTAAAAAACTGTTGTCTAAATTTCCCAACTTACATCATCTAGCGATCAGAAATTTTGCTGAGCTTGATGTTAACAATTTTGATTTAGAAGAATTGATAAAATTATTAACGAAGTTGAAGATATTGGACTTGAGAGGATGTAATAGCGTGAAGCAAAAATCAGCTGATTTTCTGTCCAAATATTGTGTCAAAAAGAATCGATCAATCGTAATTTATTACGATTGTGAAAACGAACCTAACGAATGGCCTAAATTGGTGGAGACATACGAGTCAATTTGCTATGGATTCGATTTCATGAAACATTTTTTTTACAAAAGATTCAGGTCTCTTCCAGAGCTCATTGATGAATAAATCGACTGAGTTTAATCAATCGTAAAGACAAATAACAAGATTCTAAACACAATCAACAAAATAATCATTAGAATTACATGTAAATTGATGGTTAAAACTCTAGACAATTATAGTTGATTAATAAAATATACGATTGAGCATCTATCATGTTTCGAGGTGGAAGACGAAAGTTCATTTTTAATCCCAATTTTTATGGACGAGTAGATCGCTCGTTTTTGTAGAAAGATTGTTTGAACAACAAATGAAGTTTTTGTAGGCGATTTGTAGAAGCAAAAAGTTATCGGCATTTCCTTAAGTTTACAGATCAATTATAAGTGAATTGTGATTTTTAATTATGTCATTTAACGATTTACCTGATATTTGTCTTTGGAAAATCTTTGAAAATATCGATGAGGCCAAAGATTTGATTCGATTGTCTAAAGGTAAGATTATTAGGATTTCGTTTAGATGATGAAATTTTAAAACTTATTTACTTTCCCTTCGTCCTATAGTTTGTTCGAGATGGTCCGATTTAATTAGGCCGAGATTTAATCGAGTAAAATATCTTCATTTGTTGGGTTGTAAGACAAATTCTTATTGATCGATTTATCATTTTATTAACACTTGTTTCCAATTTTTTTATTAATAGCAAGTGATGCGGTTGATTATATCGATCCGAATAGTTTGTGGATTAATGCTGATACGAAATGGAATTATTACAATTTATTCAAATTGTTTCCGAACATTAAGGCAATTAATGAAAGTTTTAAATCAAAATTATGTTGTTTTCTAATTTTTTTTTAGTTTGACATCAGATTATAGATACTGTGGTCTTTGATTATCATGGATCTTTCAATTTACCAGAAATTGTCAAAAATAATCCACAAATAAAGGGATTGATTGGTAATTTTGATTTCAAAAACAACGCTTATGACTTTGCAAATATCGAAATGTTCGCTTCAGATATTAATTTCGATTATAAAAAAGTTTTTCGACCTGATCAGTTGAAACAAGTTCACGGCCCCTATTTTGATATGAGTGATCTTCCTTCATTCATTAAATATTTTCCAAATTTGAAGCGACTCCACTTAAAACTCTGTGCAGGTGAGATTCAACTTCAATTAATCTGTCGATTGTTTCAGATGATTAATATCGTTTTACGATCTATTATAGCGGACGGAGTTTTTTACGATGGACCGGATTTGTCCGCGTTAAAGATTCTTGAACTTGGTACAACCGATTTTATTGAAAAGGAATTCACCGGATTTCATTTCATGGATTTTTGTACATCTTTGGAAAGCGCTTTCATACGCACTTACTTCTGGGCAAAGGATATTTATGTAAATGAATCTCTAAAGAATTACAATCTAAGAGATTTGGTTATCGATAATGTAAGTCAATCATCGAGTGATAAATGTTTCTAACATTTTATTTGATTTCTTTTTCTTTAGATGTCTTCTGGTAGTTTTTCGTGGCTGCCTCTTAAAAAACTGGTGTCTAAATTTCCCAACTTACATCATCTAGCGATCAGATATTTTGATAAGCTCGATGATAGTAATTTAGGAGAATTGATAAATTTATTTCCTGAATTGGAGATATTGGACTTGATGTTAGTAATTTTGATTTAGAAGAATTGATGAAATTATTACCAAAGTTGAAGTTATTGGATTTCCGGAAATTTAATATATTCGGCAAATCGGCTGATTATCTGTCCAAATATTATGTCAAAGAGAATCGATCAGTTGTAATTTATTACAGTTGCAACAATGAACCCACCGAATGGCCTGAATCGTTGGAGACTCACGAACGGATTTGCTATGGATTCGATTTCATGAAACATTGTTTTCATAAAACTTGGGACTCTCTTCCAGATTTGATTGATGAAGATAAATAAAATTTCTAATTAAATTGATGTTCAATTCATCAGCAAAAATATTAATTGAAATAACAAGTTTCCAAAGACAAAATACAAATTCGAATCGATTGTTAAAATTCTAGACAATTATACGAAGTTCATTTTTTATCGCAAGTTTTATGGACGAATAGATCGCTTTGCTTAATTATTTTTTGTTAATTCGAGCAGCTTATACTCTTCATGAAGGTAAATCTATTTGTTATACAATGTAAAGATTCTGCTCTAATCTAATTAAGATCCGATACTCGATTTCTATTCATTTGAAAAAAGCGCTTTGTCTCAATAATTAATCAGCTGTTCTTCACGAGGGAAACTAATCTTGCAGCAAGATTCTTGCTGATTAATCATTAATGTTATTCAATGAAAAGTTATCGGCATTTCCTTAAGTTTACAGATCAATTATAAGTGAATTGTGATTTTTAATTATGTCATTTAACGATTTACCTGATATTTGTCTTTGGAAAATCTTTGAAAATATCGATGAGGCCAAAGATTTGATTCGATTGTCTAAAGGTAAGATTATTAGGATTTCGTTTAGATGATGAAATTTTAAAACTTATTTACTTTCCCTTCGTCCTATAGTTTGTTCGAGATGGTCCGATTTAATTAGGCCGAGATTTAATCGAGTAAAATATCTTCATTTGTTGGGTTGTAAGACAAATTCTTATTGATCGATTTATCATTTTATTAACACTTGTTTCCAATTTTTTTATTAATAGCAAGTGATGCGGTTGATTATATCGATCCGAATAGTTTGTGGATTAATGCTGATACGAAATGGAATTATTACAATTTATTCAAATTGTTTCCGAACATTAAGGTAATTAATGAATTTTTTTAAAATCAAATTTATGTTTCTTTCTAATTGTTTTTTAATTCGACGTTAGATTATAGATTCTTCGGCCTTTGATTATCATGGATCCTTCGATTTACCAGAAATTGTCAAAAATAATCCACAAATAAAGGGATTAATTGGATATTTGGATCTCCTCGGAAGCATTTATGACTTGTCAAATATCGAAATACTCGCTTCAGAGTTTTATTTCAATGTTAAAAGCGTTTTTCGACCTGATCAATTGAAACAAGTTTTCGGCCGCTTTTTTAATATGGAAGATCTTCCTTCATTCATTGGCTATTTTCCAAATTTGAAGCGACTCCACTTGCGACTCTATAAAGGTGAGATACAACTTGAATTGATCTTTCGATTGTTTCTTATGATTAATATCTTTTTACAATTTATAATAGCGGACCAAGTTTTATACAATGGACCGCATTTGTCTTCGTTAAAGATTCTTGAACTTAGTACAACAGATTTGGTTGGAAAATTCATAGGACTTCATTTCATGGATTTTTGTCCCTCTTTGGAAAGCGCTTTCATTGGTTACCGGGCAAAGAATATTTTTGTAAATGAATCGATAAAGAATTACAATCTAAGAGATTTGGTTATCGAAGATATCGAATGGGTAAGTTAATCATCGAGTAATAAATGTCTCAAGATTATCATTTATTTCTTTTCTTTAGATGCAGTCTAGTAGACTTTCGTGGCCTCTACTTAAAAAGCTGTTGTCTAAATTTCCTAATTTACAACATCTAGCGATCAGACACTTTGTTAAGCTTAATGTTAGTAATTTTGATTTAGAAAAATTGATGAAACTATTACCAAAGTTGAAAATATTGGACTTGAGAGGATGTAAGAAAGTGACACACAAATCAGCTGATTTTCTGTCCAAATATTGTGTCAAAGAGAATCGAGCTATTGTTATATATTACGATTGTGAAAATGAACCCACCGAATGGCCTAAATTGGTAAATACTCGCAAACGAATTTGCTATGGACTGGATTTCATGAAACATTTTTTCTACAAAAAATACATGTTTCTTCCAGATCTCGTTGATGAATAAAAATCAATTGACTTGAATAAATCAAAAAGCCCAAATAAGGTTGCTTATTCACTAAGTTTTGTTGAGTAGGGTAATTACAATAAATTGGTAAATCACAAATTAATAATTATTTTCTGCATTTCCTTTCTTACCAATTGGTACTTTTTATTGTTTTGATGACACATGAAAACGTTGAAAATAAAACGAGTAACGAGAGAAAAACGCGTTAAACACTCATTTTGTTTCATCCAAAAAAACGCTTGTTCTTAGAAATTAATCAGCTGTTTTTCGAGTGACTTCACTCATTTAGAATGAAATTAGGGGAAAGAGCCTAATAGCCTATTAGTAATAGGCTCAACCCATTATATTCCTAATTAGATCTCAAATATCCAATAGTAGTAATAACATGGCACCAACCTTCTTCCCGTTTCTATTGCTTAATAAACAGAACGAAACAAAAAATTACTAATGAATCTATGAAAACAATAAAAAGATAAACATGGGATGAAGAAAAAAAGTTTTAAAGAAAAAACAACAATCAATGCCAATTCTTTTCTGTGGAAAATATCAAAAACTCACCTGAGCGAAAAAAAGATGCAATTACTTGAATTTGTCGTAGGCCAGTTTGTTAAACAATTCACTGTATTTCATTTCATGGATTTTTGTCCATCTTTGGAAAGCGCTTTCATCTATTGTTGCGCAGAGAATATTCATGTAAATGAATCGATAAAGAATTACAATCTAAGAGATTTGGTTCTTGATTATGTAAGTCAATCATTTAGCGATAAATGTTTATAAAATTTCATTTGATTTCTTTTTCTTTAGATGCCTTTTGGTAGTTTTTCGTGGCCACTATTTAAAAAACTGTTGTCTAAATTCCCTAATTTACATCATCTAGCGATCCGACATTTTGATAAGCTCGATGATAGTAATTTAGGAGAATTGATAAATTTATTTCCTGAATTGGAGATATTGGACTTGAGAGGATTTATTAAAGTGACGCTTAAAACAGCTGATTTTCTGTCCAAACTTTGCAATCGATCAATTGTAATTTATTACGATTGTGAAACGAAACTACCGAATGGCCTAAATTGGTACATACTTACGAACCAATTTGCTATGGATTCGATTTCATGAAACATTGTTTCTACAAACAATTCAGTTCTCTTCCAAATCTCATTGATGAATAAATCGACTGATTTCAATCAATCGCAAGAACAAATATTATATATCATAATGTTCACTACATAAATACTTTGATTATTCCAATTAAAATGATTGGAAACAATTGATAAGATTTATTTATTCATTTTTGATTTGATGATAAAAATTGATCAGGTTTAATCACAATTAAAATGGCACAATAATTGTTGATTGATTGATTAACACAATTTAATATCCAACTTTGTAAATGGCAAAATCCAAACAATAATTAAATCACAATTGATAATGATAATTATACTTTTTGTATGCTGATTGTTTAAAGGTTTTAATTGGTATCTTAATACTGTTTTAATGTGTATGAATTAAACACAACCAATTGTAATGACTGTAAGATATCACGGGGATCAAACATTACAATTTTAAACTCAAGATCTGGTATCGTGTGAACACTTTATTGAATCAAATACTAAATAGTTAAACGGAAGTAGTTAAAGTACAAAAGTCGGAAGTTAAATACTGAAAGGAGGGAACTGGGTTAAGATGATTAGGGGAAATTAATTAAACATGAATTTAAAGTTGAAACACAAATTAAATGAGTAAGCTTTTAATAGCTAGTACTTCTGTGTGTGCTTTTTGAAGAGTCTTCGACAAGCACCTTAAATACTAATTGTTGTGGGTTAATCCCTTGAGAGAAATGATATAATCAGAGATAAGAGGGGTTGTTAACTAATTACATCTAAACAAAGCTAATCCCCTTACAGAGCCCCGGGGTTGCCGTTGTCCCAGTGTGTCAAAGGTAATGGAGCGAGAAGATTCATCATGTTCAGGGATGTTGAAGATTCTTCGACTCCTTGAATGCCACTTGGTCAACGAGGTCCTTGGCTTTGTTTCGGTTTGATAGCGAAAGATCGAGGCCTTGGTTTCCATTTGTTGAAAATTTCCAAAGGAATTTCACTGTATGGAGGTCGTAATGTTACACCTTCTGTGTCGCATAAAAGCTCATGTTTGAATGAAGATGCCAATTTATATTCTTTCTTCACTGCTTTTCTCAATTCGAATGGCCAATTCTTTATAACGTCCATCACTTGGCTTTGTAATAATGCCATCTGAAGATTCTTCGGATAACGTTCATGAGGCAGCGGATTTTGCCAGCTTAGGCTTTGTAGCTTCTTCATAAGTCTCTTCGAAATGTTCATAGTCGACCAAATAAGCGAGTAATGTGAACCCGGCATCGACTATGGGTGAATGTTCTCCTTGTTGAATTATTGATCCAAACATCATGAAGGTGATGAATTTTAATCCAAGCATCAAAGGTTCTTTTCGGCAGGCGTAGTAATGGTTTACATCCCTTACTCTTGGGCGGATAAAATTCCAATCATCCAAGGTGAATCCCATTGCAACGAAATCTAATACACCTCCGGCTACAATTATTCTGTCAAATTCGGCTAATATTGGGATGAGCCGTTTTCTAACAATTCCAAAAGCGTCTGCTCCTTTTGCGATTTCCCATGTAACTCCATGGAATTCAGTATTCATATTGACAATAGAGTCGACTGGATAACGTACCAATTCATTAAATTTAATGTTACCACGAGCATCCACAACTCCTATCCAAATTGGCATAGCTTTTTCTCCTGATCGAGTCATCACTTTACAGGTTTCTATGTCAATGGCGCAGACCTTTATACCTTCATCATTCAGGGTTTTCCAAGCGTTGAAGATTCTTCGACCATGAATATTCTCGGAAACACTGAACACCTTGTTCTTATTTGAATTTGCTTCTAGAAATTCTTTGATTTTCTTTCTTCTGTTTATATCTTGGCGTCTTTCTTTTCCTAACTCTTTCTCTTTCTTCTCTTTGAATCGTCTCTTGATTTTCTTCAATTTTTCCTCTTTGGTTAACTCACGATTTTTCCATATCTCAGGTATTGTGAGTTTTGGTGGGTTAGGACGAGTCTCAGCTGGTTCCAACAATGGATTCAATTCTAATTGAATAGTTTTCTTAGGAATGATATTTGAGTTTAAAATTCCATCTATTCCTTCCCAATTTACCTCAGCTACACGAACTCTTGCTGCGACGGCAGATTCTGCTGTCCAATCTGTTGGTTGTTCAACATTGTAATCATCCAACACTTTAGGTGTATACTCTTGTTCGGGTGCAGTTGATGTTGATGGTTTAGGCGAAGATTCTTTGCCTTTCTCCATTTCTTTTTCCTTTTTCTTTTCTCTGCTCTGAACGGAACTGTTGGAATGAAACTTTCGGGACTTTGGATCATCAATCTGAGATCAAACGACTTCAGATATTCTTCTGGCGTCTTTGGACCTTCTTCCAAATCTTGTTGTTCTTTCTCTGATCCTTCTTTACGAATAGTCCACATATAGTTGAGAATTGAGTTTATCTTGAATGTATCACTCTTGCAATACTGAAGATGCTTCAGTATATCGTAGTATTTACCATGGACTTGGCAATCGTAGTTTCTACATTTGACAGTCAATTTACTCAAAAGATCGGTGTCATTGGTCCCTAAGCTGGAGAGTCTCTGGCTTGCTGTTGATGGACACACGACACAAACAAAACGCTTATTTTCAATTTCTTTGTAATTTGGTTCATTGTTTCCTCTTCGCTTATTGTACAAAATGAAGAGAAGAGTAGCACAAGCGTTACAATAAAACTCTTGACAATTTGAGCACTTAAATGGATTGATGGGCACATGATTACAAAATTTACACGATATGTTGATGAGAAAATTAGCACCAGGAATTTGAGGCTTTTCGTGTAAGATCAATCCAGGGAAATATTTAGAAAGTTCAATTGTTGCATCTTCTTTTCCAAATGTTTTCTCCAATTTGTCCTTAACCATAAGAACTAATGATGAATTTTCAATTCTCCAGAATTTGTCCAATGTTTCCATTGTTGAACTTGAAACGGAGATTCTCTGTTTCTAGGCTTTTCTTTGCTGATGAATCTTGGTGACACACAAGGGCAAAAGCTCAAAAGAAAACTAATTGAACTTAAACAATTGATTTGAGATTAAATTATTTCAAATTTTAGGGTAGCAATTGTTGGAGATTCTCCGACAATTAATCACTTAATTAAACACAATTTAGAACACATAAAATTTGAAATTAAATTGATTGAAATTAAATTTAACTTTGATTTGACTAATGTCATGAACGAGTTAATCACTAATGAGGGGGAAATGACCATAGCGACACTTGATTACAATTAATTATCTTCAGAGACCTCTAGTGGTAGCTTATTTTTCAGAAAATTTGATTTGTTTCAATTTTTGAATTAGTTAACTAATTAAGAATTGGATTTGGGAAATTTAAACTTTTGTTTCTTTTTACATTTGAATTAATTTAAAGAATTAAATTTTTATTTAATTAGATGGTCGGAGATTCTCCGGCTAATCTGAAGATACCTAACCTAACCTAACCCGTTAGAAGTTAGTATCTGACCCCAAATATATAGATTAAATTTGATGATTTAAAGATGATCTGGTCCTTCTCTCCATTTGATGAGTAGGCCAAATTCTTTTCTCTCTTTTCTTTCTTTGCTTTTTAGCAATTTCAACGCTTTCGTCTTCTTCAGTTGTAACATTATAATTATCAATGGCTTCAGGAAATGACGAAGATTCTGCATCATTACCTTTCCCATTGTTTTCACATTGAATTTCTTCATTTTTGGTTGATGAAGATTCTTCATCCAAACACTTATCACAATTTGAGTTGTCATTCAAAACATTTGATTGTTGATAAGATTCGTTTGATTTCTTTCTTGTTTTCACTTGGCTTTCATGGACTGAGGATTCTTCATCCGTTTTAGCGTCGTGAAAATCATCATCACTTTCAGTTGATTCACAAACAGTTATTTCACTTTGACTAGAATTTTTCTTTTCATTCATTTCTTTACGGTGTTTCACTTTTAACGAAGAAGATTCTTCTTCATTTAGAGCTGATTCATTCACAATTTCATTTGTCTTTACATGCACATCACTTTGTTGTTGAAATTCGGGAGAAGATTCTTCTTCCGTTTTCCTTGT